ATGTAGGAAGCTATTTCAATTCTTTAAGTTGGAAGTCCGGGATATAGACAAGTTGAATTTGATTTGGGCTAGAAAGTCAAATGTAGATAAAAGGCCGGTGCTAATTCGCAATTTCTCAGTAACCGTGTGGCATTGACCTGACTTTAAATGTCAATAAATTCGGTTACAATGATTAAAAATGTCAATAAATTTGGTAAAATTACAATATAGGTCCTCAATCTATTAGAACTGTACATATGATTTCTCAATATACAGTTAAATGTTTGGATGAATTTATACTAGAAATAACATTGGGAAAATTTCATAAATAAGATGTTAACTTTCACCAATTTCAAATTTAAGAGATAATGTTTAAAATTTCAAAGATTTTTTAAGGTTTACAATTCCAAATCTCAAATTTGTTAAAATTTTATTTATAAATTAATTGATTAAACATATATTTTATTAATTAAATATATTAAGCTTACAATTCCATATATTTCGGTCACAAATTCTATATAATTGGTCACAATCACAAATTTTACATGTGACATTATTTTACGGTCACAATTCAAAATTTTTAGAGGTCACAATTTGTTTATCGGTCACAAATAAAAAATTGAAAAGTCACAAATTATTTTATAGTCACAATTCAGAAATTTTATACGTCACAATTTGTTAATCGGTCACAAATAAAAATATTTATACGACACAATTTGTTAATCGGTCGCAAATCACAAATATTGTAGATCACAACTTAGTAGACAGTCACAAATTGTCAAATTATCGGTCACAGATTAACAATTTTTTAGGTCACACATTATTTTTTTGTCACACTTTATATTTTTCATTGGTAACATGTTTTTTATCGGTTACAAATTAATGAATTTAATGGTCACAAACGATCAAATAATCTGTGACCATCACCTTACCACTGTCATCGACAGCATGACAACCGAACCCCCGTCATCGAAACCACCACCACCACTTCCTGACAACAAACCATCATCTAAAAATACCGATATCACTACGACTACGACCACGACCACCACTGCCCACCCACAACCACCACGACCACCAATTATCACCGTACCACCCACAACTGCCGCACCACCACCAATAGAAACGTACCACCAATGCCATCACCACAACCACTGTCATCACCGCCACAACCTAAGATCAACTAATTGAGTGTTTTACCTAACTACTAAAAACCTCCCAGAACCTTATTCCCACACCAAATCCATCACTAAAGCTCTACCCCTGAGCCTCCCAAAATGCCACCCAAATCGAATATCCATACTGCCTCCGCTAACATCGACGGCGCTACAAAATTCGCCCCAGCATCTGACTCCAACGAATCGATCTTACACATCTTAAAGGTCCTCGTCGTGCGCAGCGGGAAGCTTGCTCGGTAAGCGCCGCTGCGCAGCGAGGAGCTTATTCGGCCGCTACGTACAATGGCGTGAGCACCGTCGTAGCAGCATCGCTCAATCCACTGCATCAGTATTATCGTCGCAGTGGAGCTCCTCCTTTTTGGCGGTTGTGTGTGTGTGTGTGTGTGTGAGAGAGAGAGAGAGAGAGAGAGAGATTTAGGATTTGGTAGGAGTTGGAATCGAGTTTTATCTGTTTTAATTTTATATTTTAAAAATTAAATTATAATAAGATGTTTGGAGCTTGTTTGGTAGAAATTAAAATTGAAAAACTAGTCGTTATTGTTGACTTTTATTAGACAGGTGAGACTCAATAACGACTATATTTACAATTTTAATTGGATTAAAATTCCTCTCAAACAAGTTCTTGACTTTGAAATAATAAACATAATATCTGATATTTGAAATTAAATCTTAAAAAATCTGGGTCAATGTAATTTCCACAATAACATTCCCTTACAAATTCCAATATCAAATCTCAATTCCATCCAGGACATAGGCCCAACAGAAGGGGGAAGCGACTGGGCCAGGCTTCAGGTGTTTACTAATTTCCAGGCCCATAAACCTATTACAGAAACAGTCCCGACAAAAATCATGTTACGAAGCATTCGAAGTAAATGATCAGAAAAACCACCAGGTCGAAGAGCTTCATCTGCCACCAACGCTCATCCATATGGCGAAAATGCACAAATCTAAGAACCCTAAAGCAAATCCATGCTCGTATGATCATCAATGGCTTCAATTCCAATCGTTTTGCTCTACGGGAACTCATATATGCTTCAGCATATGCAATTCATTCCACTATATATTATGCTCACCAAGTGTTCGCTCAAATTTCCCAACCGGACCTCTTCATGTGGAACACCATGCTCAGAGGATCAGCTCAATGCCGTAAGCCTGAACTCGCTATTTCTTTCTACGCCCAGATGGAGCGTGGTTACATTCGACCTGATCAATACACGTTTCCTTTTGTGCTCAAGGCGTGTACAAGGCTTTCTTGGGTTAACATGGGTAGCGTGATTCATAGCAAGATTTTGAAACATGGTTTTGAGTGGAATAAGTTCGCGAGGAATACCCTTATCTATTTTCATGCAAATTGTGGGGATATAAGGGCAGCCAGCACACTTTTTGATGGCTCTGCACGGGAAGATGTGGTTGCTTGGTCTTCTTTGATTGCTGGATATGCAAGGAGAGGGGAATTGCATATGGCGAGATGGTTATTCGATGAGATGCCAGAGAAGGATTTGGTTTCTTGGAATGTGATGATCACAGGGTACTTGAAGCATGGGGAGATGGAGTATGCCATGGAGTTGTTTAATGTGGTTCCCAAAAGAGATGTCGTGACATGGAATGCTATGATTTCTGGCTGTGTGCTTAGTGGGATGCACAGGAAGGCATTGGAGATGTACGATGAGATGTCAAGTAGTGGGCAGCATCCCGATGAAGTGACCATGTTGAGTCTTTTATCGGCCTGTTCAAATTTAGGAGCTCTAGATGTTGGAGAGAAAATACATTTGTCTATTTTGGAGATGGGCGAGGGAGCATTAGTTATTTTTCTTGGTAATGCTCTTATTGATATGTATTCCAAGTGTGGGAGAATTGACAAGGCACTTGATGTATTTCACTGCATGAGAGAGAAGGATGTGTCCTCATGGAATTCTATAATTGTAGGATTGGCTTTTACTGGTTATATGGAGAAATCCATTTCCTATTTTGAAGAGATGAAGAAAATGAAGTTTAGGCCTGATGAGATTACATTTATGGGGGTATTGATTGCCTGTAGTCATGCTGGAAAAGTTTATGAGGGACGTGCATACTTTGATATGATGAGAGACGAGTATAACATTCAGCCAAATATAAAGCACTGTGGGTGTATGGTGGATTTACTTGGTCGTGCAGGGTTGCTGGATGAAGCATTTAAGTTCATTGACGCCATGAAGATTGAATTCAATGCTATCATTTGGAGGACATTGCTCGCTGCTTGCAGAATTCATGGTAATGTTGAGCTGGGAAGAATTGCAAATGAGCAGCTGCTCAAACTGAGACAAGATGAAAGTGGTGGTTATGTGTTATTGTCAAACATATATGCTTCGAGTGGGGAGTGGCATGGTGCTGAAAATGTGAGGAAATTGATGGATGATAGTAGGGTGATGAAAGAGCCTGGATGTAGCCTGATTGAAGAAGAAAATGATGAACTTCGTTTCTTGTTCGGTTCAAAACCTCGTCCAAATTTAAAAGAGCGTTCACTTAGTGTTTAAAGGTGAAAATTTCTCTCATGCTCTTCATGTGTCATATAAAGGAAAATATGCATCAAATAAAATTTTATGATGTTTCTTTATCTTCTACGATTTTTTCCCTCTTATTCATACTTAGTTCCATAGGTAATGTTGCTCAACTAAATTCTGTTGTCTAAATGTTGAGATTAATGTATGTTCAGTAAATGCAATAGCTTGATGAATGATTTCACTCTTACTGAATAGTTGTAACTGTATAAACAAAATATTGCTCGTGTGGTTTCTGATATATAAGCTGAATCAAACTATGTAAATTGTTCCTTTACTGATGGCAAGCCTGAAACTGGCCACCAACAGATACAATGGAGTTGCACTTCAAATGTACTCTAGACACTGTGCACATGAGTGAAATGTCTAGAGTCATAAAGGAATAGAATTTAACACGACACAGTACGGACACAATCAGGCTCTTGATTTGCTCAAACGTACAGCATTCATATGCTAAATCAATTCCGAGACAGAGCAATAGCAGACAACAAAATCAACAGCATAAGCACAAGAATTGCTATAAAGGATCCAACTAAAGAGCCAGAGACTCGCTCACAGAAGGAGTTGAACTGTTGACAGATAGCAAACCAGTTGACCCGAGTGTTGCCTTTGTGCGCTAGGTAAACAATGGCAGCCGCAGCAGAAGCTCCAGATGTTAAAAATGCCAGCATTGCCTTCACAATATCAAACTCATTCTATTAGTAAACTTTGCTAAGCCCATTAGTATTTAAATGTCTGATGAGTTAGATATAACTTCAAAACTCACAAGCTCTATGAACTTTTATGGCACGTTTGAGGTATGGAAGATTAGATAGTATTAGATGCTATTAAGAGAAAAAATAAGCTAAAAAATCTTTGTAACACGTTTAGCAATTATGCATTCTTTTAGTCTTGTATTGTGTGTGAAAATTACCATATCAAAGATGATCAATACTGTCCTTGTTACTCGTGCGCCACTTTTAACAATGTGGAAGATAGATAGTGCAAGTGAAAGAATCAGGTATGCAGTTACTATGGAATTTGCAACCACGAAGTACCTGTTGATGTTTACATTATACGTTAGAACAATGAACTGATAGTAGACTCTACAGGGTAGACGAAAAATACTCACCTGAATGCTGGAAGATCATTGTATTCAGCCCTGAAGCGGATGAACTGCGTGAAAAAGGGAAGTGATTCATTTGTTGTTCCCATGGCAATGGCACTTCCCAAGGTACCAATAATAGCAACTATTCTCATAATAAGGTCCAGTATGGATATGCCTCTATTTTCCGCAGTTTTTGGAGCATCATCCTTTGGAGGTTCACCTGCTTCTTCTGCACCTGCCTCTTCTGCACCTGCCTCTTCTGCACCTGCCT